ATGTATCTAGCTTCAACTTCCAATGATTGGATATTGTTGTCCCTTTCTCTGCTAGATGAGCCCAAATATTTGATATTTGTAGACTGTGATCAAGTCATTCCTTAACTCTCCTCTTTGTTAAACTAAATAACAAAGTTTGAGCTTCTTGTGTCTATCAATATAAGGCGTGTTTTCTAATCCTTTAATCATTCTCCTGACTCTTTTCTTAACCCTTTCTAATTTATCCCATGGTCACATCTTTCTTGAACTATTGACACTAGATCTGGAGACAGTCAACGGTTGCACCGGTGCAAATTTCTACCTGAGATTTGTCCATTTATGTCAATATGCATCATCTTGGGAGCTCATGTTCAGCTCATTAACTGTCAGAGCCCCCAAATCTTTTTCAGAGTCGTTGCATCCCAGTCTCACACTCTGTAAAGTGTGGCCTATGTTCTTCATTCTTAGACATATACATTTATAATGGGTCATATTAAAATGTATATTGTTTGCTGGCACGTATCTTACCAGATAAGGGATCCAGAAAACTCTGTATCAGTGACATGTTCTCAGTTTGGTTTTAGGCAGAAATCTGACATGTATGCCAAGATGTGTGGGGAAAATTAGCTTCATCTGCTAACTAAATCAGTTATATTAAACTTACAGATGATTTTGACAAAAATCATGTTGCAAAAAAGTCATTTGGCTAATGTCATATTAGCTATAGAAGAAGAAAACTGAAAAGTTTTGATCTACATTGAATATATAACCTGTACTCTAGACGGTTCTCTTTCATTACAGCAGTTTTCAAGTATCTAAAAGGGTGTTACAAGGAGGAGGGAGAAAAATTGTTCTTCTTGGTCTATGATGATAGGACAAGAAGCAATGAGCTTAAATTGCAGTAAGGGAGGTTTAGGTTGGACATTAGGAAAAACTTCCTGTGAGGGTGGTTAAACATTCAAATAAATTGCCTAGGGAAATTGTGGGATCTCCATCAGTGGAGATACTTAAGAGCAGGTTGGATAGACATCTAACAGAGATGGTCTAGATGGTACTTGGTTCTGCCATGAGAGCAGGGGACCAGACTTGATGACCTCTTGAGGTCCCTTCCCGTACTAGTGTTCTATGATTGCTTTGCTTCCCTAACTTGGCACTCTCTTCCATGTTGTTCCTTACATTGGAAGCATCCCAGTGATTAATTTTCACCAGCACCATCACCATCACTGCCTCATAAAACTAAAAAAATACCCTTATCAGCAGGGCTGGTGGGGACATGTAAAAAGCTGAGGTTTCAGTTTGGTTTTTTGTTCCACGTTAAATTAGAGAGAGAGAGAGAGAGAGAGAGAGAGTAAGACTGTGGACTCACTGCTTGTAGTTCCCCCTTGTGTTGGAGTGCAATGATTCAAGGGGTTCTTGTCTACAGCAGGACTTCCATGGCTTTGGCCAAGGCACATAAAGCTCAATCATCTTCTGGAGAAACAAAAAGATCCAAAAGAAAATTCACAGAACATGTCTGCATAACAGAGCCTTCAGTGCTCTTCTTAGGATTTACTTTGACCTGTCCTTTGTGGTCAAAGGACTAAGTCCTTTTAGTCTCACACTCGACTTACTATTCCCTTCACTGGGCTTGCCCGTCCTTTCCTCAAGGGCTGGGAGTGGAAGCCAGGCCCACACTCTACTCCGGGTTCTAGTATTAAGTAGTTAGGTCTGCTTCCTCGCTCATACTGCGGCTTCCCTGGGTTGCTTCCCTACAGCCTGCGCGTAAACAACCTCCCTTTGGTTTTCAGGATTATGACTTCTCCCTGGCTCCTCCCAGATCCCCCTTTTCTGGTGAACTAACCACTCTTCTGCCCTTCTTGGGCTCTACTGAAGTGCCTTTCCCTGAATCTACCTCAGTGCCTCCCCCTCAGGTACCTAGCCTACTCTTTGTGGATTCTCCTGCCTGGCTTCCTGCCCCACTTAAAACCTCTTTCCAGATCCCCCAGAGCTTGCCCTGTTTTCTGTAGGTTTTATTCTGTAGTAGAATCCTGCTTCCTACTTACCGAGTTCCCTCAGTTTCCTTATAAGGGCCAGATGTCTACTGATCCTTTCCTATCTCCTCCTCCTTTGGCCAGCAGGCCATCCATCAGTCCCAGGTGCAGTAATTGGCTCTTAACTCCTTGTCTAAAATGGGATGGGAGTAAGCTCCATCACAGACCTCTTTTTAAACTCTTCGCAAAAAAACAAACAGAAACAAAACAGAGAGACCCCAGAATGACTGATGACTAGGGCACATATGGGAGACCCAGGCACAAGTCCCTGTTCTGTCTAAGCCTGTAAGAGGGACTTAAAACTTGGTTGGAGGATCTCCTTGCTAGGTGGGTCTCCAACCATTGATTGTGCAGTGGATCTGCCTCTCTCCCATTCCATCTGGGACCTGAAAAACTATCCTGACAAAAGTTTCCATGAGAACTATTGGTTTTGATAATAAGGCATTTTCCAAGAACAACAAAAATTGGGGGTGGAGGGGGGGGGGGATTCCCAACCAATTCTCTTCTCCTTGAAGCATTCTGACTATAAAACCACACTCCCATTCCATTAATTTTGTTTCATATTGTAACCACATCTGCTTCTAGATTGCAAGTTCTCCGGGGAAAGGACACCATGCAGTGCTTACATACTATGATGATGGGCACTACAGAAAATCCTCAGCCAGAGAGGGAGAGTGTATTTGTATAGCAGATGTGGTCTATTTTCCCTGTTGTTCAGTCATGTGCACGTTGACTGTACTATAAAAGTAATTAATAATAGATTAAGCAGAATTTTTAGGAATTTATCAGTGACATTACAAATACAGAAAAGCCAAAGATAGAAAGCCACCTAATGAGTCAGGCCATTTGAATCAGTCTTAGAGGCTTTATGAAATGCTGAAGATAGAACAATTCCCATTTTACCTATATGGAAGTGAAATGATGCCTTTTATTCCTCTTTCAAGAAGGAGAGTCAGAGTAGAAGAAAGTTTTTATCAGTGGGTGGGCTGATTTAAACCAGCAAAGTGTAAACATGACACGGTTTGGTGGGTGGGCTCTGTTCAGCCTCCCTATTCCCCCCTGATGCTTTGATGCTTATACAAAGCTCAACCAAACCACCTGTGCCAAACAACAGTCAGCAGCAAATTAGCAGAAGTTCCTCATGGAATTTCTGGTATTGTACTATCTAAGTACGTCTGGATTGGAAATAGCATTAGAACTGCCTTTCCCAGGGACTAGCGTTTTCCCCATATAGGTATTAACGGGTTCATTTTGATGTTAATTAATCACAAATTGTGTCTTTAATGTAATTACGTACTTTATTCTCAAGCTGTGGCTCTGTTTGGTCCCTTTTAGAATACCAGACTTTCTATCTGAATTCTCTTTTGGCAATTACTCTATTTATAAACTCAGAGGAAGTAAGTGATTTGAATAAGTAGCTATTAATAATTAATTCCTTGTTCACAGCCTGAAAGTTTTTCTTCTTCCAGGAAATGAGTTTTTCAACTCTGAGGAAGATAGTATAGAACCAAGGCGCATTGAAATTAGAGTCTCTATCTCCCTTTCGACTCTGCTTTGGAAATCTCAGCATCAATACATTAATAACATAAAAATAAATTATTAATAAGTGTTTTTCATCAGCAGATCGCAAAGCACTTTGCAAAGATGTTCAGCATCGTTATCCCCCTTTTACAGATGGGAAAACTGAGGCACCAGGCAATGACACGACTTGCCCAATGTTACCCAGCAGGCAGGCCTACCCATGATCACAGAGATCAGGATCAGAAAGTATTATCTACACTCAGAAAGATCTAGCCAACTCCCTCAGGCGATTCCAGCTTATTCTAGTCATTCACTAGGGTAGTGGTCACCAACCTGTAGATCGGGATCTACTGGTAGATCTTGAAGCCTTTGACAAGTGATCCTGACTGGTTTGGCTGGGAGGCTGTCAAGTGCTGGAACTTTATCTGCCCATCTCAGCACTGCTTTGCTGCTTCTGCCCCACCCCTGGAGCCTGTTGCTTGCTGTGCAGAGCACAGGAAGAAGAGGAGGTGGTGCTGATGTCAAGGTGCCCTTCCCCCCACCCTATACCTCATATCCACTGAGCAAGGGGGGAGCAGAGATGGAGAGAGATTGCTGGCAGCTTTTGGGAGTTGTGCAGGGCCAGAGTAAGGGTAAGCCTGACTTATTCCCCACCACCACCACCCAGAAGTCACCTGTGCCCAGCTGGAGCCTGCATTCCAAACCCCAGCCCTAGTCCTAAACCCCTCCTTCACTCCAAACCCTGGCCCTAGCCCTGAGTTGCCCTGCACCCAAACTCCCTCCTGGAGCCTGCACCCTACACCCATCCTGCACCTCAACTCCCTTCCCCAGGCTCAGTTCAGAGCCCCTCCCACACTCCAAATCCCTTAGCCCAAGATCAGAGTCTGCATCCCCCTCCCCCACACGCCCGTCCTCTGCCCACCTCCTGGTAAACATGAGTGAGGCTGGGGGAGGAAGGGAGGATGGAGTGAGCAGGACCTTGGAGAAGTGACACAAAGGAGGTAGGACAAGGATATTTGAGTCTGAGGTAGATCCTGGATTGCACTTACATTCAAAAAGTGATCTTGTGCTTAAAAAGGTTGGAGACTGCGGTCTTAAACCACACCTGAGTCAAGAGGAATCCCTGCATATGTCACAGCTCATGCCACAGATGATGGGCACATCTCAACAGACTTTGAGCCTAAAGTCTATTCCAGCCGTGCTAGTGAATGCACTTTCCAGGTGCAAGGCCGTCCTCAGGCCTGCCCTCTTTAGATATGGGCTCTCTGATGCGAGAAATGCCCCTTTAGCCTCCCTATTCTTAGCCATCTCAAAAACCCACCAAATCATCTAACTGTTGTCTCCAGCAGCAGGAAAGCCATTCTGACAAAAGACAGGGAAATCTAAAAGCAGAAGGCTGCCAATTTCCATTCTAAAGCACCCCACACCCACCCAACAAATTTCCATGGGACATGAAAAGAACACCAGCTCTCAACCTCAGAAAGGACACCTTTCCACATATTTATTTCTGGTTTAATCTCAATTGTCAGGAAATGGTCACAAGTATAAATGAAAAATCTCTTCTTTCACTCTCTCTCCATCTTCTACTCTGTGGGATACTGTCCGTCCGGGTGTTTCTGAACTCAAAGAAATCCCCCAGGTATTAAGCAAATTTCTATACCAAGGCCCTCATACTAGTGAGTGAAAGGTTTCCACCTTCTCTCTGTATAGTTGATGGAATGAGTTTGCCAGGATGTGGAAAGGAACTTCGACGTTCTCCATCTCCTTCTGTAAAGAGAGAAGAGAGGTTATGAAAGATGGATGGGAGGAAGCATTAAATTATTTCAGCTTCTAACTGCTCAATAAAAACACCCACATTTATACTGGGAGTCGATTAAATGATAAAGAAATGTAACAGAGCCCCCAAAAGAGAAGACACCCACTTCCACAGATGGAGAAAGACTCACCACTGATGTCTCACAGTATTGCAGGCCCTGGATCTCAGCCCACTCCTCTGCCCGTTTCTGCTCCACAGCTCGTCGACCAATCAAGTCTGTTTTATTCCCCACTAAAACACCTACAGAAAATGTGAAACAAAGGAAAAGAAAAAAGAAAAACTGAATTGATAGCACTGGTGGGGGAGTTAGAAAATGGGAGGAAAAAAACTGGATTGCTAGGCTACGGCTCATTAGATAAGGTACTAGTAAAGACAGTAAGGGAATCACCTAGAATATGCACTTCTCTGGTCTATCCTACTCTCAGACTGGTTGAATTGGAGGAAGCCATGCCTGGCTTGGATTTAAAATAATGCTTTACGCCACATCTCAACGAGAAGAGATGCTGCCACAACATAAGAATCAATGCAAAGAATCTCACCATCTCCTACCTGGAAGGTGCATTCCAAGGGTCCGTGCCCTCAGCCTTTCCAGCCATTTGGCACAGTTGCTGAAAGACTGTTCATTGGTGACATCATATATAATACATAAGGCATTGGGCTGCTCCCACTGTACATCAAGAGAGAGATACTGTTAGCTAATGAAATTAATGTGGTCAATGGCCAATACATCCCCAGAAAAGTGTCTGTATGGGATATACATTCCAGGGCAGAAATAAAACGAGTCTGATATAATGGGACCTCACACTTAATTAATTGACCCCAGGCTTCAAAATTAGATCATACAATGGAAAGGCCCCTAATGTATAGGGACCGGGACACACTTGCTGGAGTGGGAGAAGTCAAGAATAACTCTATGTCTCATTTTAAGGTGGAGTCTCTGGGGAACAGAAAGATCAGTATGAAGGCAAAAATCTGTTACATTACAATTGGTGAAATGGAAGTTCTTCTAAAAGCTTGAATACCCCCTCCTCCCCCAAGACATCTGCATAGCTATCTCAGTTTAAGGTGCCCTTCCCCCCACCCTATACCTCATATCCACTGAGCAAGGGGGGAGCAGAGATGGAGAGAGATTGCTGGCAGCTTTTGGGAGTTGTGCAGGGCCAGAGTAAGGGTAAGCCTGACTTATTCCCCACCACCACCACCCAGAAGTCACCTGTGCCCAGCTGGAGCCTGCATTCCAAATCTGAGCCCCAGTCCTAACCTCTCCTACACCCCAAACCTGGGCCCTAGCCCTGAGTTGCCCTGCATCCAAACTCCCTCCTGGAGCCTGCACCCTGGACCCATCCTGCACCTCAACTTCCTGCCCCAGGCTCAGCTCAGAACCCCTCCCCCACTCCAAATCCCTTAGCCCAAGACCAGAGTCCGCATCCCCCGCCCCCACACTCCAGCCCTCTTCCCCCAGCCTGATAAACATGAGTGAGGCTGGGGGAGGGAGGGAGGATGGAGTGAGCAGGGGCAAGGCCTCGGAGAAGGGGCGGGAAGGAGGCGGGGCAAGGGTGTTTGGGTTTGAGGTTGAGCCTGGATTGCACTTAAATTCAAAAAGTGATCTCATGCTTAAAAAGGTTGGCGCCCCCTGCACTAGGGAATCAGCAATTTCTTTTCTAAAACCGTACAAGGCTTCTTGGCTGGACAATATCCATGGGGACTTCCTGCTTTGCATGAACTCATCCAGTGCAACTTTCAGCTAAAACTCTAGAACACTCGTTTGGAATGCTGTACGGTTCCAAAGATCTGGTGAAGGTTCCATATCAGAGCACTTCTTAATCCTGGAAGGAAGGCAGATGCCTGAAAGCACCAACTTTCCCTCTAATTTTCCATCTGTGGGTGGAATACATGTTGTTATGTGCACCGAGGCATGGGCAGATACACACCACCAGAAGGAACACATGCTGCTTGCTGTGGACGCTCTGTTAATCAGCTGGGCGGCATTTGAATCTCTTTTGGGCAGCCACCCAAGCACTCAGCTTACAGGAAACACTGGAAAGAACTATAGCTGAATTACTCTAATCAGCATCACTTTTAAATTGCTTGAGAGACCAATACTTAAACGACTCTTGGCTTGAATCGACCCATAGTTGCCTCATTACCAGGCAGGGCTGTACTGGTGAGAATCAAATGATAAGAATGACATCGTTTATTGAGGATGCCTTTGAGACAGGACAAAAGGCCAGCACTGGTTTTGCTGACCTTTCATCAGCATATTAAACAGTTTGGCACCACGGACTAAGCTTCAAATTTCACTCCACGGTCCCAGAAAAAAATAATTTGTGAAGTTTACTGTGCGGATGATTTCTAACGGAGCAGCAATTGTTACATGTGGACTGGAGGGAGTCCAAGTTAACTGTGTGATATGGTCAACAGACTTCCCCGGGGATCTGTACTCTCTCTGATACTCTTTCAGAGATGCACAGCTGACCTGCCACCCACATTGGCAACTTGGTTGTATGCTGATGACATCTACCTGGCAAGAGCCACAAGGAGCTTGGAGGAACTGGACACCTGCCTGTCAATTGACCTCACCACCTTGGCCAAGCAATTTTTGAACTGATGACTCAAACGAAGTGCACTACAGACAATAGAATCTTGTTTCCATCTCGCTAGCTGGTTAGCTCATCAACAGCTGCACATCCTTCTGAACAAGAAGCCAATCGTTTTTCAAAATAGATCCTACTTATCTGGGGATATTTTGACTGCTTCCTGTTCTTTTGCTAAAATCCAGTTGAGACTCACAGTGCTCTTCAGCCTTGCTAATAGCTCATCGGGCATTAGTACTGCAACCTTATGGACATCTACCAATACTCTAATTATTGTACTTGCCAAATATTGCAGCAGCATAGGGATCCAGGCATCATTGTGGCATATTGGACTCAACAAACATCATGGCCTTTGTTGTCATCACTGCTGTGAACCCAACAGCTCCTGTCTCCTGCCCTCTGGTCCTGGCTGGCATAGTTGTGCCACTGTAGTGCAGACATGGGCTGGATGCTGGCTTTCTTCTGTCTCTGGGGCTATGTCTAGACTGCATCCCTCTGTTGGCAGAGGGATGCAGATTAGGCAGATTGACATTGCAAATGAGGCAGGGATTTAAATATTCCACGCCTAATTTGCATAAAAATGGCCACCGCGTTTTGCCGACTCAGCACTTTGTCTGCAAAAAGAGGCAGTCTAGAGGGGGATCTGTCGAGAAAGAAAGCCTTTTATGACAGATCTGTTATGCCTCCTGGAAATTTTATGCAAATTAGGCATGGGATATTTAAATCCCTGCCTCATTTGCAATGTCAACCTGCCTAATCTGCATTCCTTTGCCGAGAGAGGGATGCAGTTTAGACATACCCTGGCATTGGGCAAGTCATATCACCACTCTGTGCTTCCATTTTCCCCACATGCAAATAGGATAATAAAGCCAAATGTGCAGAGAGTTTGTCGGGATTATCCCTTTAGCGTTTGTCAAGGACTTTGAAACTTATAAAATGTTTTATAAGGGGCCTGATCCAAAGCCCAGTGAACTCAATGCACGTTTGTCCTCCGAATGCCATGGGTTTTGAATTAGTCCCTATGAGCCAGGGATTCTCAAGCTGCACACATAGAACCAGTATTACACAGGAGACCCAAGAGAAAAGTCAAGATGTGTAATTCTGTGCTCTGTGGGCCAAGCGCTACTCTGAAATAAGGCAAGAATTTGTCCTCACATGTATAACATTGTCATATACTGGAAGGCTATGATAATATCTTGTCTGATATAAATTCCATTTTTCTATATCCTCTGTTTCCAGGCAAAACAGGCAAAGTAAGGAGCACAAATAAATACTACCAGCTTTTCATACCAACACTTTTGAATCCTCTTGAGAAATCACTAACTGCCCCCCCAGGAATAGTTAGCAAATAATGCCACCTCTCTTCTCCTGTAGAATTTTGATCGTTAGAATTTTGAATTTTAACCCAGACAATGCGTGTGACATTCTAAACTGAGTCTGGTCTCCCGGCGAATGCAATGGCCTCCTTGAATGAACATGAGTTTCATTGTTGCACTGACATTCTGAATACAGCAAAGCAGGAACACTATTTCTATGCCCTGTGTATCTCTAGCATATAACTTAGAAGGGAACTTCTCAGAGAACCTACATTTGATCAGTCAGCCCTCCTAAATGGAAGTGCACACACAGAGTGCAGCATGTGTTACAAGCAGTGAAGATAGCAATGCCTATGGTTAAGGTTGCTGACGCTTGCCGTTCTAAGATCCCTGTATTCAGTTGTTTATAGTTGCTAGACTTCAACTGTTTGGGCTGAAATTTTCCATGCAGAGTATCTGCCTGAGGCTTATACTTTCTGGAAAAATTCAGCCTGGAGGGTTCAGCCCTTTCTTAGAAAGAGGTTAGAGGAAAACGCAGGTGGGGTTGCCTCTGTTAAACAATCCTTATAACCGCTTTGTTGAGCTGCGCTAGGGCCTCCCTGCTTTGGAATAAGAGCTTAAAATGTGATGGAGGGTTGGCTTTTACATCAGGAATGTGCCTTTTGCTGCTCCTGTGGGGAAAATCATCCACATGTGGCCAAATTGAAAGCTTTTTAAAATGTGCAGTTTGAAAATTCTCAGCCAAGACTTGCTGGGATTTGATTTTTAAAAATTCCATCCACCTAGGACATGCGGGGTCTGAGCAGGACTATATGTGCAATTGAGGCACCTGGCTGCCTTGGCACCAGGTACAGGAATTGAGAATGGGGAGCCTATCTCTTCTGTGCTCTCGATGCTGGTGCCCAGGCCAGTAGCAGGTGTCAACAGCCTGATTGAAATGCCAACAGTGGAGGAGCTGGCTGAGGAGGTGGGTGAAGATGAGTCACCAGGTGGGAATGAAATTGGGACATGAAGCTAAGCGGGGGGTGGCAGATTGGATGTGGAGCCAAGGAATGGGAGAAGCCTGTGACAAGGAGCCAAAGGGAGGGAGTGATGGGGACTGGGACTGGGACTGGGACAAAGACAGGCAGGAGGAACAGCTACAGAAGGAAGCAGGCTTCAGGAGCTCTTCAGCCACCGAGGTACAATCCTTCAGAACTTGGATTAGAACTGAAGATGCCTGAGTTTCGGTGTCAGCAAATAGCTGTGAAAGTCTATTGCAAATGTTGTTTCTCATCTCCTTCTAGTGGCCATGCCACACATTGAATAACAACCTACTACTATGTTATCTCAAGTGGCAGAGATCTGTGCATTGGATCTAAAGATCACAATCTATGATGTGCACAAAGAGAGAAAGAGTTAAAAGAACATCATTATGGTCCCAAAAACAAGCACATCCTGGCATTTTCTAACTTTTGAGTTTTTAATTTTGCAACCTTAATGTAATAATATGAAAGTGTGTGTGTGTGTGTGTGTGTGTGTGTGTGTGTGTGTGTGTGTGTGTGTGTGAAAGTGAGTGAGTGGGGGGACTAAATTTTTGCCCTTAGGTTGTTTGGACATATCTGAAAGCAATACCAGGTCTAATGAGCTGGACTTCTTAGCTGGCGTAACGTGTTGTAGCTCCATTACCTTTCACTTTATCTTGCTTGTAAATCATCACGACATACATTAGTCTCGTCTTTTGTTCCTGACTCCTCAAAGGGATCGGGTACACCAGTGTTGAGCACTATATGAGAACA